AAACCAAGCTAAGAAGGAAATGAATGGGGGAAGAGGTGGGGAGGCATTTGGGGGCGGAGAATGCCTGGAAAGGCACAGACGTCTTCCCCAGGGACGGATCTGGATTCACTCAGAAAGACAGTGAGAGAACATTCTCTAAATGGGAAATCCAATAGGTAAGCGAACTGAAACAAGTTAAACTGTACTCATTACACCTGCCCAAGGTCCAGGAGAAATAAGACACTTTGGGAAGTTCTGATGACCCAGATGGAGGCAAAGGAGAGAGGGGCGCGAAAACAGTAACACGAATTTGTACTTACTGAGTGTGTGCTGTGTGCCTAGTGTTGCACTAAGCACTTTGCAACACTCGTGTAATCCCTTAGAAGTGTCCTGCAAAGGCAGAAACTATTTTTCCCATTTTACAAACAAAGGCCCAGAGGCTGAGAGAGGCAAGGAGATTTGCCGCAGTCCTGTGTTGACTAAGTGGAAGGTCCGAGCCCCAGGCCCTGGGTGTCCGTACCTAGCAGCCCTGCTCTTAGCAACAACTCCTCACGGCCTCTAGTATCACCCAGATGATGGCGTGTGAGCCCCTGGTTGAAATTTAAAATGCATTAGAAGCCAGAAGAAAAGCTGTGATCCCCCTAGTCATTATGCAGTCAAAATTAATGGAGATAACGCAGATGGCAGGACTTCAAGGCCAAGGAGAATATGATGACACAGCCATGCCCAGCGCCAACAAGCGCCCCGGAGGGACGAGGTGAAGGATCAGGGAACAGGTATGGTAGTTGCCGCACATAAATGTCCCCTCTTGAAGAAAGGGAAACCAGACTGCAGGAAGAACTGAGCATTTCATCCTTTTCTTTTGGGATCCACTGTGTTCTATACGATCAATCCCAGGATGAAAGCACACAACCCAACATTTTCACCACACGCATTACTGGCCACCCATACTCGGGAATGTGCTTGGAGGGTCAAGGAGAGACTGCTAACTGGAAAGCTTTGCTTTCCTATGGGACGTGTGAACAGGCACTTAAAATTGCCTCTCATTCTGGGACTTACAGTCCCCTTTCCCTGGACCACCGTCCTTCTTCAATAGACCTCCAGTGTTACATGTGCATCTATGTGGGTACGCACATGTGTGCGCACACACAAGCACTCTGAAGTTCCTCCCCACACTCAAGCGCTCTTCATTCTTTAAGACCCAGATTCTGGATGAACTGAGAAGACGTAGCAATGCTTTGACCCTTTGTAGTGTCCTTATCTGCAATTGTGAAATTCGCAGTCTAATTTAAACTTGAAGGATGATAATTCTTCCAAAG